TGTCTGGTTTGGCACAAGAAGGCTGTTTGGCCCCCACAGAGCTGCAACAATATGGGCAGATTTTGAGGGACAAAAGATCCAAAGCCTTGAGTTGCAGAGCACGTCTCTGACACTGGGACACTGATGTACTGGGAATACTGGGATGTTACACTGGGAGATGGTCAATCAGAGCACTGGGATGACAACATGAGCTTCTGCAGTGCCTGTGCAGCTGCCCAACAGGTAGCAAGATTTGGAAAATGATTTTTTTTTTCATTATGATTTGGACACAATCATGTAGATAGCTGAAGCCCAAAATACAGGAGATCCCTTCTAACTCTGTGTAGGACAACATATTCTAAGATAAAACTCATAAACGACAGAGTCTGAGGCTGTGAGTCTGTAGTGTGTAATGTTTCTTTGTTTGGATTGTCGTGGAAAGCCTCTGCGATCTCTAGTCATTTCACTATAATCAAACATTCACGCTTCTCGTCCAGCTTTTCATTGTTCTAAAGAGTCATTTGTTCCATGTCAAACCGTGAATAAAAAGATATGATAAATGAAACAAATGCAACACAGACAAAATGACATGCGGCCGTATGAATGCATCCGAACCCGATTTCAGATTAACTGGTTTATGTTTGCCTGCATCTCCTGCAAAGTCTTGGAGAAAAATATGCTGTCGCATGATTTAATCAAGATTTTTATTCACAATATTTAATATCTACCTGGTGCTGAAATACATGGAAAGAACAGGGGCAATTAAGAGCTCAACATTATCACTGGTTCTGAACAGACTGGACAAATGGATTAAAGTGTTAAAATCCTAAACTATACTAACATGGAGGAAGTGTAAAGTCTTTTCATGTTTCATGTGAAAGATGAGAGTGGGGGTCTGGATAGGGTGCTACCTTTAAAAAATGCTGTGTTCTTAAAATTAATCTGTATTTGTGTTTAGTGTAATGTTAAGCGTTTTACACTGAAGGCAGTGAATCCTGCACATTGTGTATTATCCTTGATGATAAATTACCCAAACAATGCACTTCTGAAAAAGACAAAATGCTTCATTTGTGGCGTGTATGTCATTTCTAAGATGTTTATCTATACAATATGATCTTTAAATACATGAAGCCTTTACACAAAGAGTATAAAAAGACAAAAGAGCCAGCAAAAACAGTTTCTTTTCAAATTCTGGATCATTTCCCAAATACTACTTTGTATCCCTGCGCTGTTCCCTGAGTCCAATTTTTTTCTTTCTTTCTCTCTTTGTTTTTTGGCCCTTGGTTTTCATTCATGATAGTCGTTTACATGCTGGTCAGCAGCTAAACTGGCTCACGGAGGCTTTTTAGCTCAGTGAAGAATGTGTGTGGGCTGTAAACACATCCTTCTGCTGGTTTAAACACACAATGTCGGATCCAAATGTAAACAAAGAAAAAGACAAACGCAAGACAGGACGATGCTCTCAGATGGCAGTTATTAGTAATATTGTCTAATCTTGTTAATGCTTTTAAATATAAAAACAAGCACAAAATCTGTTTCTTTTTTCTGAAGTTGAATATACCTGCTACTAGTGGAGCCTTTAGGAGACCTCATAAAGGATGGACAAAAAAACAAAACACTTGTCAGTCAAATGCAGAGCAATAGGCTACACCTGACAGGTGGGAATGCAACATAGTGATCTTTTTAGATTATAGTACAGAAAATTAGAACACACACACATGCACACGCCTTTTATTAGAAACCAAGAAGCATGTAAAAAGATGTTTGTGCACACGCTGGTTTTGTTGGTTATGACTATAAGAGACAAATTAATTTTTTTCAGAGTTCATTATATTTTGCAGTTTTCTGTTAAGATTGCTGGCAGGATTTTACACATCCTTCCAAATGGTGTCATATTTGCGTTGGGGGTAGGAAGCATTGAGCAGAACACTGACGGTTCCAACATGTTTTAATTACGGCTTCTTTTCCTGTCATTTGACGTTGTGGTGTATTTCGGGTGCAGAGTTGCCAGTCACACTCATGTTGCTTCTGTAAGAGACGCAGATCTATTATATAAATCGCATAAAGAGTTGAGCTGATCCGGTAAATGGTTCTGGTACCAGGTGAAAACCAAACCCTACCTCAGTAAAACACTGAATGGGTATACTGTTTTTAACCTAAATGACCAGCTGCACAAGAAAATGCTGACTGGCATTAACAAGCACAAATTCATTAAACAGCTTTGTGTGTTGTGGCAGTCTTACTGGTAGTAGGGAATACAGAACTTTAACTTGTAGAGGCACATCTTAACATTATGGCATTTCTAATTTCTTAATAAAGCAGAGGATGTGATTCCTTTGGTGGTTATGGCATTATTGTGACTATATTCCAATAAGGAACATATTACATTAAATATTTTAGTTACATTTTAGTTGCCTTATGGCTGCAGCTGAAGTCATAAAAAGTTATATATCCGGTAAAAAAAACCCTACTCTGCTGTTAGTCTATTGTGACCAAACTTGCAGTTCAAAATTGTGATTATTTTTCAGTCTTGCATATTAATTAATCTGCAATCTAAGACTGGTTAACCAGCAGAGAAATTCATAAAGTCTTTGCAGAGTAAACTGGTTGGGGGGGAGGAGATTGTGGTGGTGGTGGTGGGAGGCTGGGTTAACTGCTATGCCTTGCAGGAATGGCCTGGTGGGTGCTAATGAACTTGGGATGTGCCACCACAATGCTGAGCGGCCCCTGGTGCACCTCGGTGTCCGGGTTCTCATGCAGCCGATGGAATAAGAGGGTTGATGGAGGGGAGGAGGAGAAGTGATGGGGGTTAGGAGGAGGGCGGGCGGCTGGATTGTGCACCCAACCTATTGTGCCCGGTCCTTAGCCCATTAGCCACCACCAACCACTCTTGCTTTCGAGAGCTCGAGACTAGCCTGCCTGCCTGCCCGAACTCGGTAACCAGGCATCGGCGAGGGCGAGAGGAGGGGAGGAGAGAAACAGTAGCCGTATTTAGAGTTTGATCTCCAGGAAAGCGTCCAAAATTTGGAGAGAAAGAAAAGGGGAGCCCGGGACATTGGTAGGCAGGGAGAACCCCCCTGACAACAAACCCGGGCCTGACAAAGTTGTCTCTTTGGCAGTCGCGCCTCCTATTGAACCAGTAATTTATTCAAAGGAGATTTTTATCCCCGCGATCTAATTATTATGATAATCAAGTGACCCAGACCCCCTTTCTTGGCTCTTGTCTGCGGGCTCTGGGCTCGGCGGTGACAGTAAAAGCTGATTTGCACGGTCTTCACCCCCTGGTCACATTCCTGGACTCCTCTGTATCAAAGACGTAGACAATGAGAATAGTGGATGTGCGCACTTGATCCAGGCATGAGCGGAGGCCGCAGTCTCCGCCGGGGGCTTTGTGTCAAATGAATACTAGTAGCCAGACAAGATTACACGAAACTTTTTATAATCCCCACATGGTCCAAAACGACGCTCACAACGACACCCTTGATATGTGAAACTCCCAAATAGACCTGAAATAGAGACAGCAGAGACGATGCTGAATATTTGATTGAGCTGATGATACCAGTTTATAATCAATTAGAGAACTGATTATTAATATGATGACCAAATGTCATGCAATATAAGGAGTGTTGCCAAGATTTTGGTATCTGTAGTCTCAAATATGACGTCGAATAAAGCCATTCTACACTAACTCAGATTATTAGTTTCGAGGATTCTTTTTTATCATTGAGGACAGAACTTGAGCTTGAATCCTTATTCAAGACCACTTATGCTTTCATTTTTTTAGAGGGTGGAGACAAAAAAGCAGACCTGCATCGTGTCATAAAGGGGAGGGCCTTGGTGGTGGTAGCCTATATGTTTTTAGAGCAGGCATGTTTTGAGTTCATATTGCATCTGACGAGAGGAATGGCGAGTACCGGGGACAGCGCGGGGAGGAAGGGGGGAGGCGAGATCCACCTCCGAGAGAAATAATGGGGATGATAATAAAACAGGGGGAAAACCCGTCCGAGGGAAGCTGAATGGATGGAGCAAGGCAGACGTCACGGCCAGCCGCAGCCATGAAGACCGTGCGGTCCAGCCTCCGGCAACTCAGTTGGTCTCCATCTCCCGAGCCGCACGCTTCTCGATTTTGGAGAGCGGACGCCGTGGAGACTCCCAGGCGACGGCGTGAGTATCAATATAATCTGTGTTTTCTCCAAAGGGGGGAAGGTGAAAGCGGTTGGGGATTAGCGGCGAAAATCACGGAGGAAAGACTGTTCGCATCCGCGCCGTGCACGCCGCCGATCTGCACGCATAACGGAACAGGATGCACACAGGCTGGATGTGTCAGCAGCAGGCGAATATGGGCGCTGTGTGTTTGAGCAGCAGGTCCTGGGCTCTGAATTTACCGTTATATTTGTTTCTGTTTTGATGCTCTGATGAGGGTAAAATAGGAGGTGATGTTTCACTCACAATGGCAGCTGTTGAGAGGAAAACCAAGTGGCAACTCAGTGTTCATGACATTTTGTCTCTTAACTCAGTGTGCTTAAAAAAATACAAATCGATATTGAAAGCTTCAGAAAGAAAAATTATGGGTTTATTCACTTAGTAGAATATGGAGTAGTGCACAGGTGGAAAGTAACAGCTAAAACATGTGGAAACAAACCTGCACTGTGGAATACGTGTGTGAAAGAGCAACTTCTAATTTGAAGTGGTTTGTCTCTGTTTTAAAGAAAAAGTACTCTTTTTTCAGACCCAGCCTTTATGACGCATTGTGTGCAGGCTTCATACAAAGCGATTCACAGAGAGCCACACAGGCCAAAAGGCGCTTCCAGCCTTGATTTCATTTCTCATACACACCGCCAGGCACTTAGCAGGGTCACTTCTCAAGCTCTGTTTGCTGCAGAAGCGGGAGCTGCAGAGACAGGCAACATATGGCACGAAAACCCAACAAAATTTGACACGATCAGGATGTGGGGAAAAAATTAAATCCTTTTGTGTCTTTTCCCCCCAAATTAAGCCCTTGCAGGACTCTTTGCTACCATGTGGCTCAGATATGAGGATTACTAGCACACAGACCTGCAATGCATGCGTAATAAGACAAAGTGATCGTGTTCACACCCATGGTTGGCGGATAAAGGGATCACAAGGCCAAATATCCAGTCCACACGTGTGCGCCGAGAGGCCTGTACAGAGAACACGTGTGCGCCCCCGGATACATTAGGGGAGAAAAACTGAGGCCGTTGAGCTTTCAGGGGGTTTGAAGCAAAAAGAAAAAAAAGGAGATTATGAAATACTTCACATGATGAACATGAGGGTATTAATTTGTATGCAGGCTTAGGGAGGAGGGGAGAATTTAGAAAACAACGATTTTGTGCAACCTTTGCACAAAATTCAGATTCATTTTCCAGTTTAAGCCAAAATATATCGGCCACGCAACTTTAGAGTATTTATCTAGCAACACACACACACACACACACACACACACACACACACACACACACACACACACACACACACACACACACACAATTGGCAACTGTGGGGTGGAACAAATAAGGAGAGGATTTCTGTACAGGGCTTTAAATGAAGTTCATATGCACCGTGTATTTTAGAGATATTTGCGACACCACTGTAAAAATGGCAGGTTGTACATTATTGTAAAAATACAGATAACAAAGTATTAAAAGTACTACTGCTGAAGTATCACTCAGTGCACCTTACTTCACCTACTATCGGAGTTTTTGTTTTAAAAAAATATTTTGTCCTTGTCGTGACAAAATAGAATTTTCTGACGATCTTTGCTGGTTAAACGAAGTCTACAATAACCAAAATTGGGCAGTTAGGCTTTGTAGTCATTTTGAAGAGTAAAATCATCGTCTCTTTTTTCCAGGAACCGCTGGAGAGACATTCAGCGGCCTCACAACACGTGATTTACTGTAGGTAATATGGATAACCAGCTCTCTCTGTCACTCATATCACCCTCAGGCTTCCGTGGTTATTTTTTCAAAGTTTGATGGAATAATATGTTTTATTTTGACGTAATTGCTTAAAAAAATACAAGTGTATTTATCTACAACAACAACAACAACAA